GCGGAGATTTTTCCGCCTGTCAGTTGATTGTAACTTTGAGTTTCTTCCGACGGAAAGTGGGTGGTCTCGGGGGCGAACTGGGACCCCTCGGCTGGCAGACAAGCGCGCTGTCCACCGCTCCAACTGGGATCCTTATCTTTGTATTACTTTTATATTGGATCTTACCTGATACTGCTTGTTAATATCTTGTTTCAAACGGGGTGAAGCGCATATTCCATTTTTGACACCCAGCGCGCGCTATTTTGTCACGCCGTCAGCCAACGTCTGCAAGTACATTTGTTTTTTGCCAAATTCATCCAAGACATGATTTCCAGGTAGTTTCCCTATCTTTTTGATTCGGAAATACTTCCAAGACCTAATCACTGTGTTCTACACCTTTGTCCATGTATATTGCTTATTTACGCCGCCTGACCTCCCGTATCCGTACGTTTGTTCATCGTTTGAAATTTACTCGTTATTGCTTCCATAAAATCCCGCTGTATCACTGCATTTCTTTTCTGTCGGTCGTCGGTTTATTTTCAATCCGGTATAGAAATGGGATGCGAAATCAGAGTGCAACTACTGCGCAGCGAACTCTTACGAGACCAGTGAAGTGGTCATTTTGAAGCGTGAAGGGACAGAATCTATAGGTAGTGTATCAGTAGCCTTAGCATCAAGGTTACTTCTTAGTTCACGTGGCATTAAGTGTAACTAGCTGTAACGTTTATTGACGAAAACTTTGCACCGTTCGAACTCCCACCAGCGTATACAGTTAGTTCCGTACTTTTATCGCTACGGCTTTGGAGAGAAAATCCCAGAACGTAACATCCTGGCAGTGCTGGTGTCCGTTGGTAACATTCAACGAGTAATCGCCTGTCAACCGTATGCACCGTTCTACTTTGTCGGTATTCGTTGGAAGTGTCATTGCTAGTCATGCAGATGTCAGTTCTTATATGTTACTGCGTGTTCCGTATATCGGGATATTGTGAACACACTTCTGATAAATTTTCAGCAGAGAACTTTGTGGTCTGCATGATTTATCTCCGTTTCGTTTCATTTTCATTCATCGGTGATGAAATATCATTGGTTGAGTCTTGTTACCGAATACTTTCTATCTACTATCTTCCCAACTCCGTTGGTAGCCCCTCCAATAATTAGCGTAAGAAAAGCAGTACCAGTGACTCAACCGCCTAGTTGAGGTTTATGTTATATATACACTGTGCGATTTTATTCATCAGCATAGGCTTACTGATGCGAAAAATTCTGGTGGCGAGATTACGACATGAAACTGCTAAGCGTGACAGTCGGTCAGTGGTTGTGGAACATTGGCAGTTCCGTCATATTGTTTCAGTTCTAGGAGCAGACATGCCGTTTGTAAAACCAGACGGTGCCTTAGTTTTTGGGGGAGAGTTCCCTGGATGAAGGGTCATGGTTCAAAAATCTCGTGTGGTCTAAATTGTCTTCTTGGCAAAAGGAAGGATGAGAATACTGTATTGTTGTTCGTCCTACTTACGAAGGACCTCCGGATACATTTTTTTCACTCTGCCGAACACCATATATCCGGATTCCAGTCATCAGTGGGAGAAGCCGTGTCGTTACCGTACTTATCAGTGATGAGAGTGTGCTTGCAGGTGTTAGCATGGCTATGAAGGTACGGATAGTAAGGGACGGTGTGGGCAATCAAATCAACTCATTGTGAGCTTGATCCAGATTCACAGTGATCGCTGCCCAGTCTGATAAATTTGTTTTTTAGTATATAACCTGATTACTCAGTTGAACCTCAGCTTTCTGACAGTTTCACTGATCCCTTGTATGGGGAATTCCTTTTGGGTCGTGGTACCCTTTCGGTTGGTTTGTTCAGGACAATGGGCCTTTATAGCTGGTTTACTGGGATGTCCGTCATATGCCTTGACCATCGTTTCTTCGAACTCCTCTCGAAAATGCGTTGTTTGAGAAAGTACGAGAGTATGGGCAAAATCGACATCTTATTATTAAACAAACTCCTCGGGTTCTGTAAAATGCTACTTAATTCGTGGGACATCAGTTTTGACAGTTCCTGTCAGGTTGTGATGCTACCAGTTCCACTATTATTATTATTATTATTATTATTATTATTATTACTCCTGTTTTTCAACCAGTGGGCAGTTTAGGATATCCTGCTGACAACAAATCTCACTGTCGGTTGATTCCACCTGTGAATCAACAGTAATCAGCGGTTATTTTCCCGTTTGCTCGATCCTGTTTTTCAACCAGTTGGCAGGTTAGGATATCCTGCTGACAACAAATCTCACTGTCGGTTGATTCCACCTGTGAATCAACAGTAATCAGCGGTTATTTTCCCCGTTTGCTCGACTACTCATGAGTAGCGTGACTGACGCCTGTTCACCGCAACGCCATTTTGCCTCCACTGCTCTTTTCCCCCGGTCTCTTTGTTCCTTGCTTACCTCCTAGTTAATACTGCGGAGATTTTTCCGCCTGTCAGTTGATTGTAACTTTGAGTTTCTTCCGACGGAAAGTGGGTGGTCTCGGGGGCGAACTGGGACCCCTCGGCTGGCAGACAAGCGCGCTGTCCACCGCTCCAACTGGGATCCTTATCTTTGTATTACTTTTATATTGGATCTTACCTGATACTGCTTGTTAATATCTTGTTTCAAACGGGGTGAAGCGCATATTCCATTTTTGACACCCAGCGCGCGCTATTTTGTCACGCCGTCAGCCAACGTCTGCAAGTACATTTGTTTTTTGCCAAATTCATCCAAGACATGATTTCCAGGTAGTTTCCCTATCTTTTTGATTCGGAAATACTTCCAAGACCTAATCACTGTGTTCTACACCTTTGTCCATGTATATTGCTTATTTACGCCGCCTGACCTCCCGTATCCGTACGTTTGTTCATCGTTTGAAATTTACTCGTTATTGCTTCCATAAAATCCCGCTGTATCACTGCATTTCTTTTCTGTCGGTCGTCGGTTTATTTTCAATCCGGTATAGAAATGGGATGCGAAATCAGAGTGCAACTACTGCGCAGCGAACTCTTACGAGACCAGTGAAGTGGTCATTTTGAAGCGTGAAGGGACAGAATCTATAGGTAGTGTATCAGTAGCCTTAGCATCAAGGTTACTTCTTAGTTCACGTGGCATTAAGTGTAACTAGCTGTAACATTTATTGACGAAAACTTTGCACCGTTCGAACTCCCACCAGCGTATACAGTACCTCCGGCAAGCCTCCGAATAAGGGCGCAATTCTGACGGCACGTTCGTTTTCTTGTGCTATATGCTCCCCGAGTGCCCGAAAGCTCCCATAACATTCAGTTCACCTGGAGGAAGTACCACAATTGAACTACTTCACGAGGTTGACTCGGTGTCAGCTGGCACTGCCCTTGTACACACCGGATCCATGAGTTCATCATCATTGTTTGGATATACTTTGTCTCACCCGGTAACAACAAAAATTGAAGTGGCGCAATTTTCTTGTTTTCAAAAGTGTTTTCATTTAAGCATACCTGTTCGCGATAAGTCACATTTTTGTAACTCCTAGCTGATTCCAACCATATGATGCTTATTGGCAATGTTGTGGAATGTAGGCAGCTCAGGTGTGCTGCTTGGTTGTTGGTCTGTTCACCGAGCTTGGCAGTTGGATTGCAAACATTTCATCATCAATTAAGGTGACATCGTCAGTGTAAGGTTGAGTCAGTGAGGGTTGATATTCCCCCCTACTCAACCCTGCACTGACAACGTCACCTTGATTGATGATGAAACGTCTGCAATCCAACTATCAAGCAAGAAATCATGCAAGAAATCTACGTATGTCGGACGCGTTCAGAGAAAAATACTCCACCGCATGCTCACAAAAATTTTTAAAACTCTGATGTCCCTTCATTATAGGAGCCTATGATCGGCCCGCCGTCCAGGAGGCTTTCAGGAATATTCTGAAGGTATTTTATGGAGTATAGTTATACTTGTACATATATACCGTTAAATAAATGAGTTGTGCGAAGCTGTGGATTGTTCTTTCGTGTCAGTACTTTCGATTTTTGGTTATTTCATTTGTCTATCCTAGTGACACTGCTTCTTCTTTTCATTTAGTTTTACCTGTGTCAAGTTGCCTTTGGGGTTTCCCGAAACTAAGTAAATCAGTGGAATAGGTGGTTTACAAGCACCGGATCTGGGATGGGCTGACTGTAGCTTCGTGGTTGGATACGGCCTACGGAGCAGGTGTACAAGACCACAGCCCAAAGTATCAACATAGATTTAGAGAGCAAATCTTCAGTCTGTAGCGATCCAACATCAGAATAATTACCAATTATTTCTAATCGACTACGTAGTGGTCATCCAGTCGTGATCCGTGACATCTTTGGCATTGTCCCCTTCGTTGTTTTTGACACAATCTTGTTAGTGAGATATCTGTCAAGCAGTGCTATCATAACAGGCGAACCATACCTGCTTACAGAATGTGGTTGTTGATTCTTTCCATATTGCTCTGGACTAGAGCATTACCTCTCGTATAATGAAATTCTCCCGCGTGTCCCAACTATACTTTTGATGTGGCATCCTGTGACGGCATGATGCGCACCGTGTTGTTCTGCTACACGTTGCGGATGCGTTCCACAGTTTGCCGAATGGGCTTATTTTTCTGTTTGTTCAGCACGCGGTTTTCGGATGCGGTCAGCAGTTTACCAACCTTTCAAGCGTTCTATGCTAGTGGCTCATAATCGCTGAGAGCGGACTTCCCATTGGTGAAAGCCTTACCATTTTGGAACTCGTTGACCCACTTCATGGGTGGCCTAAACATCGTTTTATGTTAGCTTAGGCGTGAAGAGTTATATTCTACTAATAAGGGTACTCGATCGGCCAGTTAGTTCATCTAGTGGAGAGTGGAAGGATAGCCGTTTGAAGGCTTAAATCCCTCCAAGTTAGTCACCCTTCCTGAATCGTCCTCATCGATCACATCGACGCAATCGTATTGAATAAATATACTGCAGTACGGTTATGTGCAGACTGGTAGTTGAACTGAATTGTGAGCTACTCTATATCTATCTGGCGGCACTGGTTAAGATGAGAGATCACGAACATGACCATGCCTTCACCAGCAAGTGCTGATGCAGTGCCGTGTTTCTGGACGAAAAATTGAAGGCCTGATCCACAGGCTATTCCTTCATCCGAACTGGACCATTTATCACTCATGGTACTGCTCACAGTGTTATGCCTAGCAGAGGTGAGATCCGTTTGACCGGAGCAGGTCGCTTGTAAGTTGAATCGAAGTGCGCTTACAATCGGGTTACTCGGCATCTGTAGCCAGTGTAAACGCCTCACATTTTCGGCTTGACGAATTACCTTTGAATATACCACACACTGCCGTAAACCAAATTAAACAAGGCTTCATTTGTTCCCTTATTTTCCGATGATATTTTGACTGCGACCGTTGTCGCTTCTGGATTCAAGATGAAATGCGTTCTCACTCCGAGTTTCACCGATTCTAATCTCTTACCGAATGTAATTAATCAGGTGGTCTTTGGTCTGTTCACCGACATTGGCAATCAGTTTGCAAACGTTTCGTCACCAATCGAGATCACATCTGTTTTGTGCGGTGAACAGATCAACGGTCACCTGACCAGCCACCAATGAACGCACCTGAGCCTCCAAATATTCTCGTACATTCCCAACTTTCCTTTTCGATTACGTTCTTCCTCCAACCAAAGTTTTGTCAACCTAGAGAGGTTCTATGCTCCATGCGTTCGTAATTCTAGGGTATATCATGTACAGATTTGCTCTACTGTCCAGGTTGCCATAATTCACGTTTTCCTTTGTGTTCCGATGGCCATATGCTCCTGCAGTTCTGGAATTATTTTCATGACCTCATGTTTCAGATGCACCATTCCTCGACTTTCACAGCCTTGCTTGATAAACGGGTAAAATTTCACTGCCAGTACGATCGATGCTTTGAAGGTTACGTGTACGCAGTGGATCCCGAGAGCGGAAATTGCGTGATCTATGAGAATCCTGAGAAAGGGGAAAACTTGCCAACAGTTATTTGTGCTTGGGCCATTAAATTCACAGAGGTAAGTTGTTCTGACCGACCGTTCTTATCCCTCTCTAACTTCTCCTCTCTGGACGGACAACCCGAAGGGACCTTATGAATCCTTTTCGTTTCTCGTCGATTGTTCCGGTTCGCACGCAAGGAAATTACTTCAAATAGACTATGTAGTTTGCCATCTAAACGCAGTTGGTGTGTATGATTGGCTTGATGACCTCGTAACTGCTTTGGTTTTACGTTGACTGATTGATCCACCCGTTAATACGAACAAGTGCATGATCTACTGATGAGATGTAATAAGGGCGAAACTGAACCTTAATAGTTCCAAATTTCATGCCGGCTGACCAGACTGATTGCGCCTGAACAGCTGAAGAACTGTTCAAAGGAGAGCAGTTAGGATCACTGTTACCTGTCATCCACAACTCCCTATAGTCAATTCAGAGATCGTCCTCAACGACTCATATGAAATGGCACCTTACCTCAGAGCGCCTCGCCTCCCCCATGTTCGTCGTTTGCACCCTCTCGAACTTCTCCCATGATACGACATGCTCGCGAATGATTGTCGTTTACACGCATGGAGTGTACAGTAAAACCTTTCCATAAGGGACACAGAGTTTGGTACGTTCCTTCTTCTGGAGTCTTGTGAATACACTTCCGAATATCTTGAATTCCTGGAATAACGTATTGAGTTCATTGAGCATGATGAAAAATCAGCTTCTTATACTTTACAACTTATCAAGCAGAGGACTTCATTTTTCGAAGCCATACGAAGGCCTTATATATAGAGTACGTCATTCTGGCACTATTGTTAGTGTCACATCTGTATCATATAGCTGAATTCTTTCCGGCAACTACCAAAGATGCTCTTTTGTGAAGCCCTCTCACTGTTGGATACAAGAACTGTGATTAGCGTTTGCTTCGTCCATATTTTTAATTTAATCAAGCAAGGGATCCAAATGAATCATAGTTGGTCTTTGCTCGCGGATGTTTCATTCATAAAACAGTTGACTGCACGTGATTTAACAGACTTTGAATCTTACACACCTCTTGCGCAAGGGTGGGCATGAATCAATAGTTCGTACCCCTCGTTACTCATTCTCACCTCTCACGCTAGTTCCTGCCTGTGAACTCTACACACATGTCAGCACATTTGTCGAATTCCGACTCAATGATCGGTGCTAACGGAAGCATGCACTGGTGAAACTATCCACGGGCTGGGGGCGAATTAGACCAGATTGAGGCACGACTGGTGTTCACCCGGTGGTCCGTCTTCACAACTTTTTCCCGTGCATCAGCAACCTGAATTTTCTGCTTACAGATCCGGGAGACAGAGGAAAAGCGACAGGTTGATTGGTAGAAAAACGTTGCCACTTAATAATACGGCGTTCTTTTGAGAGAGGACTTCTCGCCTTTTGGGGTGTTTGTTTTGCTTTCTGTTGCTCTTTTCAGTGGTCTGTTTGATTCTTGCGAGAATTTTACTGGCAGGGTGTTTACCAGTTTTCTATGGTCCCTTTGTGATCCAGTGACTTACCTCATCCAATTTCAGGTCATCGAGGACGAACTTCCAGAAAAGGTTAGAGGTTTTTTCGATGGGCTGCACAGTATCGAAACTGGCAACGACGTGGAAGACCGGTCGAACCCCCTACCTTCTTCCGAGAGTTTTGAAGAAAGGAGAAAGCATTTGATTGACCTATTTCAGGCCAACTTCATCGAGCTCAAGCCGGAAATGAATGACGTATTCTCAGTCAATGGTGTCGTATTCATTCACCCTCCCTATACAATTGATACGTGTTCAAGTACAAATGTGGTTGCCTTGGACCGAGTGAAGAAACTTCTCAGGTCGATTGGCCCCTCTTAGTAGATTTTCCAGTGCATTTCTGCAAAAAAAAGCGTCATGCAGTATGTGCCCAAAATTTTTTTGTCTATTGTGGATCATTTTTATACAGCTTTTAATAGAAAAAAGTACATTTACTGGACACGCATGAGATACATGAATGCTGAAAGTTCGTTTCAGCGGTCTAGGAATAGGATTGAACGGATATTCTTTCACTCGACCACTACAAACTTCTAAGTGCGTGTCCAACACGTGGTTATTGATTGGTGGTTGTGAAATGATCTAAGCAGCTACCTTGAGATGTGCTGGGTTCTGTCACTGGACAAGTGATCTCCACTCTTCTTGCTTGCGCACGTACGTCCGTATTCACACGCGTAATATGATGTGCGCACAATTAGAATGCTATCCTCGATGTACGTAAATGACATTGCCGCCGCAACCACAGGAGTAATGTTATTTGGTGGATAAGTGTCTTGGGCCACTGAATTTGTGCGCTGCGTACTGCCTTTCATAAAATTTTTTTTGATGCCGCTAAAGCCAGGATGAGGGTGTTCTTTTTTCAAACCAAAGAAGATTTCAGATGCACTTGTCTTCCACTTTGTGGTCGGATTCTAATTGAACTGTTTTTTTTTTTTGGGGGGGGGGTAGGAGTGGATATCGTGTACTGCAAAGTTTGGTGTTGCCGTAACCCCTTTGTGGTTGGTTTCTTATTGAACTTTTTTTTTTTGGGGGGGGGGGTAGGAGTGGATATCGTGTACTGCAAAGTTTGGTGTTGCCGTAAATGTGACCCAGCATAACTTGACGCACTCTGCGATGACCACGACATGTGGTAGCAATTACCAGAATGAATAGGAAAGATTTTTCTGGTTTCTTTCTGTGATTAATATTTTATGATGAACACATGTCCAGTAAATGGTGTTTCGGTAGATGGGATATACACAAACAAAGAATTACGACTGACACTAAATACATCATTCAGCTCACTCAGTAATTTGATGAGTTTATTTTAAAACCACATTCAAAGCGCTGATGAAGCCCGGGCAGATTTATTAGGAATATCATATTAACAACCCACGTCCAGAAGCTTTCGTAATTTGTATGCAATTTTCCATAAACAATTCGGCTAGTGTTGTATCATATACACTGCCTTCGACGATTGGCTGGTGTAGGAAAAGTAAAAAATCCCTTTCTATCATTGATCTGTCTTTCATAGGATTATTGCATGTTTATTCATGATGGCTACAAGTGGTCTCTCTTGATCCGTTTGACGCTGGTGGACGGGAGAAAAACTTAATGTGGAGATGTTCAAGGTCCAATCAAAGTCTCGGGTTGGGGAACAAAGAAGACACCTGTCCTCAAAATTTTACTTGTAATTCATGTAATATGTCCTAAGCTATTTCTGTACAAGTTTGTGGTGAACATTCGCGAACAATGACTGTTTCCTGCGTTACCGGGTTCTCAGATGCATACACCTCCACACGGTAAAAATCAGTAGTAAATGATTGTCTGACGCCTCATGGCCGGAGTAAACTGGCAATCTGTGCTCCGCTTTGAGGTCCTGTAACAAAATAATTGTCACGCTGCACGCATATTCGTTTGAAAAATACAGTCACAGTTTTACGTAGCACAGCTCTACTTATGTAGGATTCTGTTCAACACTTTCAGCAGATTCTCACGAGTAGAGAGATGGAGCTAGATAAACCCACCCATCAAATACAGTGATTCCCTTCAGCAACTTCACCCGGGAACGGACACGCCCTCTCGAATAAGACCATTTCGGTACAGTGCCTTGAAATTTTTCTCGGTAACGTTAATCATGAGCAAATCTCCTCCAGCTCCCAACAAAGACCACTTCACGTATTCTCTCAGAAAGATCATTGAGACTCATTCACAAGGTTTTCTTGTAGTTCGATTCCACCTGTCTCTCTGGCGGCTCGCGTTACTAAAAAACCTGCTTCCTGGTGGTGGCTTTGGACCTCAAAACATGGTTTGGTCTTCATGCTGCTAACTTAGTCGATCTTTTCGAGAGACAAACGGAGAAGACTAAACAAAAGCCAGTTATCTCTACGTTGCTTGAGGGTTCACGTAATCATTCTGAGAAGCTGTCTCCTTGGCGCACTTAGCATAACACCATCACACACGGTGCTTTACTGACATTCAAACGAGATGATCAAGTTCCTCACACAGACATCCTGCTTCATTCCAATGTTCTTTTCGGGATTACGCAGTGAACCGTCTCTCCCTCCAGAGATCACTTGAACGAGACAAACCTCGATTATTTAATGGGGGAATCACCTGTATTCCTTTGCGGGGACTTCATATCAGAAAGACTGTCTTTGATCTGAACCTTAGGGCGTTATTTTCGGAGAAGACAAGTATCTTGATGTACTCCTTAAGATTCCATTTCAGGTATCCCGATCCACTTCGATGGTCTTCTTTGGGGACATGACTGAACCAAGTTTCCAGATGTGCCAGTATTCTGTTGAAACGTTCAATAAGATTTCTATGATATAAGGCTCTCCAAACGCATTAACCTGTTGGAATCAATCGCAATTCTAGTGTGCTGTTTTGGTCCCTTATTTATAGCTGTTCTTTAGCGAGGGGTTCCGGACTTGTCTTCCGCAGAACACGGTATGTTCTTATTAAGGTCTTCTGCTGCGAAACAAATGCTGCTGATTTCAACAGATCAAAGTCTCAATGCTTTTTCAACGCATTTCAGACAGTTGGAAAGGTAAGCCAGTTCTGATTTAAAGTTCTGGCGTCATCAGTTGAACTTTTATGGTGTCCAGGTCCTTCCGAACATCGAATTTAGTTATGCAGCGCCGCATGAACATCACTGACCAGGAGGAATTTAAGGTCCTGATTTAGAGTGGCAGCCTGTATATGTGTGTAAGCCCAGGTTTCGATTCCCACGTACAAATTCAAGTTTGATTGTCAGTCCGCCTGCTTTACGATCAGTACACATGTCCGTAACAGATACTAAAAGGCAAACCTTAATATTCAAACCTTCATTTTGTGCTCACACTCATGTAAGGAAACTTTGGACGTAAAGTTCTATCGATTGACAAAATTTGGAATGTCCATATTGAGATTAGAATTTGGTAGGATAGTGGAAATCTCGTAGGGTGTAACCATACTTTTGTGTTAGATGGCTGTATTGTACGTTGAAGTTCAGTTTTGTTCAAGCAATTTTCCAACCCGCGCGTTTTGTACATCATCTGGGAATAGTCATCGCCCGAGACCCAGTTATGTTTTTTTAGGGACTGGATCAGTCCAGTTTGTTTGGCAACATCGACCCTTCTTTTTCGTTTTCTTCTCAGTATTGGTAATTGATCAGGTGGATTTCAGTCTGTTTTCTAAGCCGGGCAGTTGACTTGCAGATGTTTCGTCATCACTCGAGGAGACATAGTCACTGGTCACAAAACGTCTGCAAATCTATTGCCAGGTTCGGAAAACAGATCAACAGTGAATACACGAATTACCAATGCACCATTGTGTGATTTCCTTTGATCAGAAGACGTACACTTCAGTAGCTGATGGGTAAAGCCTGCGGACTCATTTCCGTCTGTAACAAGCAAGAATTTTGAAGATATGTACGGTGCGTTTTCGTAACTTTATGCGGTTCAATGGTCGAGGGCTCCTGCAGTTTTTAAAGTGGTTGGGGAAAGGTGGAAGAGATCGAGCTGGCCCTTCAAGTTCCTTGACGGGGTCTCAGATGTACAGCTCTTGGCCGATAGAGGCTGCTGAATCGTTGGGATAGTGCATTTTGTGTGTATCTTTGATTCGTTATTTCGTTAGGACACAATGATGCCCCTGTAGAGACCCAAAGTGACCATCAGTGCCCGATGTCCCCTAGGTCAGGATTATATATATATATATATAT